AATAATCAAAGTCCAGAACCAGAATGGTTAACTTTATCATTCTAGAAGGTTGAGTGACCGAGTGGTCTAACGTATGCTTTTCAGGTCATAAGATCTGTCAATGAGCCAGTATTCGTACGTGACAAGGTGTTGGCTAACGTCGTCGGTTTATCCGTGAAGCCAAAGACAGAAGTATTAATAATCCAGCAGTAAATTTCAGTTTTCTGTTAAAAAAAAAAAAAAAAAAAAAAATCAATTTGATTCAATATATTTTTTAAAAGTATCTGACCCTTGTTTCATTGTTATCAGTTGCATTAGAGTCATAAAAGCTCTGATCAGCTGTTGTCTGTGTTGTCTTTAGGGTGTCATGTATGACATGTCCCATCTATTGCCGTATTCATTTTGAATTATAAGGAATTTAGTGGTATTAACCGTCTCAATGCTCCCACCATCTCTTTTACGTCAGACCCCCCCCCCCCCATTGTAATCTAAAAAAGTTATTGTATCAAATTTAATAGGTCGCATTTAATAAAACACACACTTGACACATTTGTCAAAATATAAAAGGTGACAAGTTTAAATACACAAACTGATATCAAAGACATTAACTGGTTTTATAAATTTAAAGTATAGTAATGCGTATGGTACACTTATCGATCTACTCATGATGCTTACGTCAAAATTAGTTTCATTAAATAGGAGTTTTATTTCCCCTCATACGTATTCGATATCTACAAATTATAATTTTATCATTTATGTGGCTATTACCACAACATGTCATATATTCCCAATAATTATAAGGAAATGAGACTAAGATTAACTGCTTTTAAATATTTCATGTAATCACAATTTAAATAACTGAATATTATAGCGTATTCTATATTTGCATAAAATATTTTATTGTTTACACACATATGTATTTATGGCATGTCCCATCTGTTACTGTAAAATGCGAAACAGTTTTCAATGAAATCGGGATCTTGATTTTTGTGGAAATAACGGTAATGCCATTTATTGGATTTAATCGTAAAAACTTATTGGACGATTTGTTAATAATATTGCGAGGGGCAATTCACCAATATTTTATGGAAACAATGAACATCTTTGTGGTTTTGTCTTTCGGAAAATACACAGCACTGTCTTCTGTAGTCATGACTTCCAATCCAAAATGTCTGTTAAATTAGAAGTGCCTGGTTCTTTGATTGAATTCAATGTTAAATAGATTCCCCATTAATTAGTAAGAATATAGGAATGACAGAAGCGTAAAATCAATAGATTTGAATACAATTTGAACTCTAAGCTGTGTTATTAATTTGTTTTAAAATAAAAGGTAACCATTAACTAAAAATCGAGGAATGTATGACATGAATTTGGGGATTAAAAGACTCATGCTTATCTGCATATTCTTTGAAAATAACAAAAAATGACCAACTAATGGTGGGAACTAAAGCGTAAGGTTATCTATAAATCCACACAAATCATTTGCATATTTTACAACATGTCAAAAGGCAAGTATGGTAATTTTGTTTTATTATAAAATATGTACAGAATGCTAAATGTACCCAATCTGTCCACCAATGTAGGAACTCCTATTGCACATACACCAAACATGGATAAGGGTTGAGGTGTATAAAGTTTGATCGACGGATCAGAAATGGCAACAGCAGTTTATATTGATATACGAGTAATTATACTAACTTCCTTGTTTAACAACCCGGTGACATCGTGAACTCTGTGTTAATGATTCTCTGTATTGTCGCCGCCCCGTCCGTGAATATCCTATTGATTTTAAATTTATACATCGTATATAAGGTCATGAGACGAAGAATCGTATTGATTTTCAACCTGTGACCAAAGGCCACCAACAGAGTCACCACTTCAAATGAAAAAGTGCAACATAACTATTTACTTTCTTTAGGGGGAATTTAGTGAAAGCATTACAGAATAACAGACAACTTTTATCGACATCATTCACTAGTATATAGGTTTATTAACTGCAAGGTTTCAAGCTTGATAACGATGAGAATACCTTCATTGAATCGTTGCAGTTAATAAATCTAGTTAAGTTTATCCACAAAACAATTCTTAACGGGTGAAAATCATGTTTCTAAATAACCCAAGATAATATTTAAGCATGCTCTAACTATTATCGGCAATGGTGGGTTCGTTTATAAATGCATGTATATCATATCAAAAATATATTGACAAACTGACATATGATTATTCGAGGGTGGTCTTCATATGCATAGATTGCTTTACACAAATTAAGATACTTATAATATTGACATTTAAAGAGTTAGTGAACATAACATGGTGCCGAAATAAAGGCGAGTTCATGTTTTAACAAAGTTGTTCGGCTCAGAGGAAAAGGAAACAATGACAGAGGAGGAGACCTTACAGGAAATCAAATTTGACAGTTTCAATTAGATTACATTTTTTTTATCGTTTATATTTTTGATTTGATTGACCAATAAGCTCACGTGATCTGACACCAGTTACAACGAGAACAATACAGAAAATTCTTGTTAAAAGTAACATTTGTCTTACACTTAATCAGTTAGGATTTGTTTAAGGATACATTGAAATTGCACAAATTTATTAAACATTTGAATATATACCGATACGAATGCATGGATAGATGAATATACGGTTACAACACGCACACACAAAACACAACAAAAAGTTCCTTATTAGAAGACGACAGCCTTACACTGTTTACGATAAATCGTGCAATTCAAAAAGATAGCACTGTAACACATTTTAACAAAAAACAAAAAAACAAAAAAAAAAAATGATAAAAACAAACTGTTATCAAATTTACAAAGTATGCCTGTTTCGTGTAGATAAGAGAGGGATTTATTTGTTCTGTTTGTTTTTAACGAGTAAGTCAAACACTTGACATGTTAGTTGTACTTTATCGGTCAATACAGTTGGAGAAGAATTCAATCTGATTAAAAGACAGATCCTATTTCGTTTCTTTTTTTAGTTTAAAATTTTGTTTTACTTGTCTTTACTACACTAGGATCTGGAAGAGTTGTTATATAACCCGTGTTCTGGATGATGTGAGAGATTAAGCCATGAAATGGTCTGTTACTGCGAGTTTTTCGCGTGAGGTGCACGGAACTGTGGGTTTAACCCACTAGATACATCAATGCCTATTGATTAATCAATTGTCTGACGTCATAGGGTCAAACGCCGATCGTATGACTCCTGACGCGACCTTGCACTACAACCGGTCAGATTTTCATGTTGTAGAGGCCATCGAAGTATAAAAAACCGAAAACGAAACGAAATATAGATCTGTATTTTAATCAGATTGAGAAGAATTATTACTTTGAATGAGAAAGTTTATGTGATTGTTTTTTTTTTTTTAGTGAAACGGCATTGACCTACTGAATGTTATGATAAGAAGTGTATATAATATACAAATTTAAACTTCAAACTTTTATATTTTTAACTGTCAAATCAAATCAAATCTTTATCATGTTTATACGCCCGCACGTCCTCAATTTCTTGTGAACACTCTACAGACTACATTTATCATCTGATTGTTTTGAAACTGATGTATGTTGTTTACATATATATGTTTTTTTTAGCCACACTTCGTCCCTGTTTGACTCTCTGTTTGTACATCACACTCAAATATATATACCTTTAATTGAAAAACAAGGGTTATTAAAGAAAATCGATTTCCAGAAATATAGATAATTTTTGTAAAGAGGTAAACATTTGCTAGAATGACCGTATAGAACCGTTACAGCATGAGAAACATTAAAGGAAGTTTATTAATCGTTCTTGTCAAGTTCAAAAGAATATAACAATGTTTTTTGAATATTTATTTCATGGATAAATTAACACATGGATATGTAATTTGGATTTTGTTTCATCTCGGAATTTAAACGTGGATAGTATTTCAAGGGGTGTATCTAGAAAATAGTCTTTACATGGCGATACGTATTAATCGTGGTCTTACAATATCTATTGTGGTTTAACCTGTCCAGTACTTATATTTTTACCACAATGACCATTGTGAACTATACATGTACTTACAGACAATACGTGCCAAATAGACGTTATTTTACACTGATATATATCTATGTGATGATACTTGACATATCCATTATTACTTACATACCAACCTTCGACATAGATGTATATCATGTGAATATACGGTCATATATCATGAGTTAATAACAGCTGAGTGACGACCCTTTCCTTTCTATAATAAATGTACCTGTAAATCTTATATGTCGAATCATTTCAGAGTTAGTCCCAGAGAATCGAACATTTGCAGCGTTGCTCATCCGAACTTTTTTCATTTATCGCCATCTCAGAATCTTTAACATTTTCGAATTGTTTTTGACGGATTTCCCAGAACTTTGTATGTATGTTGGTTGTACTATTCATTTTTTCTCGTGTGAAGTTCCCCTCTTCAACATTGGAGATATGGATAAAGTGTTAACTATGATAAGAGGTTAAACCCATCTGGGCTCTTGTTTAAAATTAATATATTGTAATTTGTTGTTTCGAGGTATTAGATTTGAACTGCAGGATGGGTTGTTACTGTTAATATGTTTTACGTGTTATTCCCTTGACAAACTAGTATATAAAGTAAGCGTACAGTTGTGTTAAAGTGGATGCCCTTTAACTGAGATATTTATTCGTAATACCCCACTGTCTTGTACAATGGACGATTCACACAATACACATCTAGCACTTTGGTAATAAAAATAATCTTTATTCATAATCCTTATTTTAGTAGTAATCATAATATACCTTCGGTCACATGGTAGCATGTATAGTTGGAACCAGCCATCATCAGAACAAATGATGGGCAAAGTGTGCAGTGATCAATTTTTCGTATGTTTTACCCTGTGACAAACTGAAACCGGATTTGAATTTCAAGACGATATCACGAAGCAAACATCATCATCATCATCATGTCATTTATTCCGATATTGTGGGAGTATTCGTAAATATTCTAATCCATATTGATTTTAACTGTTTACTTTATCTTTCAGGTCAAGCTGTTAGAAAATCTAAAAATACCCCAGCGGCAGAAAAAGGCGATGTTAGTTTACTGCAACCGACGCCGACCAGTACACCAACGTCAGAAACGCCGATAGAGTTGGAGATTCATCCTCAAGTTTATTTTAAAAGATGGTTTATGTTAGCGTTGTTTTGTATATATTCGTTTAGTAATGCTTATCAGTGGATCCATTTAAATATAATAGCCAATGTTATACTTCGTTTTTACAATGAAAGTCTTCCTGCAGACTCTTTTCAACAAGAGACAGCTATCGACTGGCTGTCTATGATTTATATGCTAGCGTATATACCTTTAATATTTCCAGCCGCTTGGTTATTAGACAAAAAGGGTTTAAGAATATGTCATATATTAGGTTCATTATTGAATGCTGTGGGTGCTTGGATGAAATGTGCCAGTGTGACCCCAGATCGATTCCCCGTGCTCATGGCTGCCCAGACAATATGTGCCATAGCTCAAATATGGGTGCTTGGTATTCCGGCCAGATTAGCAGCCGTGTGGTTTGGACCAAACCAAGTATCAACAGCGACATCTATGGGTGTATTTGGAAATCAGGTAAATAGGTTTATATGAGTTACAGAAAAATTATATATGATAAAACAGGTAATAAAATAGCCTGTAAAATAATTATATTAATAATAATACCCACATGACGCTAGCTTCATATTACCGTCTGTTGCATTTATTATCCGACTGACTGAACATTTTTTTTCATGAGATAAATAACCATGGACCCACTAAAGGCTGAATTTATCGTCCGATTGATTCGAAAATTATTCATAGTGATTTTGTTATTGGTACGAAAAAGTCATGGTTTTCAATAATTTCTTATAGCCCAATAGCTATTGTTATCATCTAATTATCAGTTTATCACAGCGCTAGCCCGAAGCCTATCAAATTTGAATTATTTCTGTTAATTACTGGGTTTTCGCCCTTGATAGAAAACTGATCTTTTCCAACTCATTTCAAATTATGAGAGCATTTTTCGTACATTTTGTATTGTAGATAGGAGTTGCTGTGGGGTTCCTGTTACCGCCAGTATTAGTGCCAAATTCTGAAAATCTGGAGACAGTTGGCCACAATATGACTATTATGTTTTATGGTGGTGCATCAGTTACTACGGCTTTATTTTTTACCATTTTAATATGTAAGATTTTCTTTTGTTTATCCGCCATAATGAAATTGGTCCTACTAATCCCCGACAAGTCTCGACAAGCGGGTTATTTTGTAAATGGCGTCCAAAGCATTGCAAAGGACAAGGAATTAAATGTATAGATATTTTATAAATACTTTATCTAGTGTAAGCTATTGTTCCCCCTTGTTGGTATTGCATAGCATTGGTCAAAATTTTAATCATCCACGAAATCATTTAAAATTTGGATTATTTGGTTCACCTTTTCCAAAACCTCAGTCTTGTCGGTTCTTGTCAGTTTTTAGTGTCGGTGAATAGTAGGGTCGGAAAAGAACTATGATGGAAAAAGGACACCACAGCATCAAGAAGGGGAGCTAATTTTAGCATGATAGTTTTGTTGTTGGCAGGTCAGAACAGGGCGTAAATGTTTATTGGTAATATCTGATAAATTAGCTTCTAATTCTAAAAAAATGTATTTTGAGGGGAGGGAAGTCTTGCCGATGTAATTGATATTATTTTGTGCTTTCAGTATTTAAGGACAAACCGCCCAAACCCCCTAGTGTAGCTCAGATGTTGGCTGTTCAAGCTGCAGAGAATGAGAAATATTTATCATCATTGGTTCGATTGTTCAAAAATAAAAGTTTTATGTTGCTCATGGTCTCCTATGGTAAGTTAAGTTTTATTTATCTGAGTGGTTTTTTTCATTATGCCATTGACAGTATGGTGGGGATTCTATATTAGGTTAATGCTTAAATAGACGCTTGGCACAGAAAAGGTACATTATAGTAAATAGATTAGATTATATAACAATACATTTAGATTGTTACAAAACATCTGTATTTATCCTCCAGTGTTTGCAGTAAATGATATATGTATTAAATACGTAATCGATGTAATAAAGTTGTAATTAATGGTTTGGCTGGAGTCTTTGGTATTAGAGGTGCCACCATTTGATTTCACCTTAGCCAATGTGACGTGTTTTATTCTACAAATGAATAGGAAAAGAAAACATTATATCATAATATAACTGACACTAAGTAAAAGATTCTTATTATGTCGAATTACTATTGGACAACCTCATTATCCGCGTGTAACAGACACTATACTCAACTAAAATATGTCTAAACTGATGTTGATGACCTTCGCGGTTTGCGACACCGTACTAAGATCACGAATTTTTAACCTTCAGGGGTTTAATCTGGACGATAAGTATTAATTAGATTACAATAGTGTAATGAAAACCTTAGTTACTTATGTATGTATTAACGTAAAAGGATATTATTTCCATACTCTCTAAATTTGATGTTATTGTGCCGCCCTTGCTACCAGTACAGTGAGTGAAAAGAGGTGATAAATAAGAAAACTCGGACGTGGCTCAATTATCCAGTTAACGTCAGTTAATTACAATAGAATTTGATATACAGTTTTTATATCACAAGCTCTGATTCTTATTAGGTCAAATAAAAAATTACCCGTGTTTACGGTTAGCCCTAATCGCCGACCCTAAACTTGTTTTCTTATTTCCAAGGTCCTATAAATAGGTCTCCTGCAGGCACCAAAATTTCGGTATTATAACAGTCCGAATCGACATTATTTTACAGAACCATACCTAGTAATTGATCTAAAGATAGGTTGCCAGGCAACGAAAAATGCGCCCACAGCAGCTAAATCGCCGGGCAGTCAACAAGAGTTGTCGCATATTTTTACTTTTGTCAGTAATGAAACATTTATAATACACTAAAATCGGATTAAAGATACATTATGGGAGATAAGATAAAGAGATGGCAGTTCTCGCTATAATAGTTAAAAACTAGATAGTGTAAAGGTAATTTGCTGGAAATTTCAGTCAAATTGATCCACTATGAGCCGAGAAAGAAGCGGGTGAAATTTTTGCATAGTCTCGGTCATCATTACTAAAATCATTAATATAAACAGCATAGTCTCGATTATCCACTTTTTCTGATTTAATTATCAATAGCCGTTAGCGGCATATAGGAATCTAATCCAGCCTACATCGAAGGCTAGCCTTGAAATCGAGAGTTTATTATGGTCTGGATAAGTTAATTAATGTCTAATTGATAATTTAGATAACATTTCAGGCCTAAAGAAAGACTTGTAATAAGCAGATTTTGCTCTTGCATAATGCATGTTTAAGAGTGACAACTCATTAAACATGCATTATGCAAGAGCTAAATCTGCCTATTTCAGGTATTTCTTTAGGCCTGAAACGTTTTCTAAAGTATTAATTAGACATTAATTAACTGATCCAGGCCTTAATCAACTCTCGATGGCATCAGATTTCTCCGATATTAAATAGATTAGAATGGTTCAGCTATACTTTGATTTAATCAAATATGGAGGACCGATACTTAGCTTCGATCATCCAGTACGGTGGTTGAAATTATTGCACACGTCAGTCAAACCTTCAAAGGCTAATATTTTCGCTTGCAATAGAGTAATTTGAATGAAATTTTCAAATTATTAATTTAACATCATCTACTTTCGAACTATTATAGCAAGAATGGCTAGTTCTTTATCTAAATCTTACATAATGTATCTTTAAGTAATTATCAGAAAATCATTAGAATTTGTTTGTCCCATGCTAACGTTTAGTATACAAAACATTTAATGTCATGGATTTAGCTGTAAAAGTATACACGGTGTTTTAGGTCATGAGACGCAGAAGCCTATTGATTTCCGATAATTATTGCCAGATTTATGGCCCTTGATAGCTTTGAAATATCTTGTGGATACTCTAAGGACTAAAGTTAATATCCGGTTGAGTTTAAATTTATACGCACTGTTTAAGGTCATGCGACGAAGAATCCTATTGATTTTGAAAAACTTTCGACCATTACTCTTTGAAAAAAAATCTTATAGCAGCTCTTGAGGCTAAAGTTAATATCTGGTTGACTTTAAACTTATACTGTTTAAGGTCATGAGACAAAGAATCCTATTTATTTTCAACGATTTTCGATAATTAAGGCCCTTGATCACTTTGATAAATCTTGTGGACGCTTTAGAGGCTAGAGTTAATACAAACAATCGAAACAAATTCTAATGCTTTTTGATAATTACCTCATGGATTATTACTGGTAATCAGATTTTCATGTGTTGTAAATGTTCTCATACTGACAAAAGAAAAAAATATGCGACGATACTTGTTCACTGTCCGGGCGACTTAGCTACTGTGGGCGTATGTTTTATTGCCTGGCAACCTATCTTTTGTAATGGTAAACACAAGCAATTTTTTTTATTTTTTTATTAGTTCGAGCACCGCCGTGTCAGACTTCTTCTTGCTGGATTTCCGCAACGTACTATTCATTTTTCTTCACAAATGACGTTGTTTAAACATTAAAGATATTGATGTGAGATTAAACCCATTTGAGCTCTTGTTTGAGATTAACATGTAACTGGTGGTGGTTGAGAACTTGTTAGGACAGGAAGGTGGATTGTAACTATCAACCGGTGTATATAAAGGTGTTGTCATGCACATATATCTGACAACATCCCTCTAAGTTACATATATATATAGACAGTTTTATCTGACAACGCCCATTTAAGTTATGAAGACATATATAGAAGGAATGTTTGAGGACAAGCTACAGTATTACAGTGACATTATACAAAGGTCCATGACTGGCAACAAAGCAAATAACTGTTTGTTTCTAAAGATAATGTATATTCTAATTAGGTTTACTGTTAAGTTCAGAAAGGCCTTAAAGTGTGTCGTGACTGATGGGACTTTTGCGGACCACCGTTTTCAACACCACCGATGGAACAACATAATAAAACGTGTCTGAAGTTAATCATATAAACATACTGGTATTCTTCAAACACCATCAAATTAAGAGAATACCGCCTTTAGATCCGAAATATAACATAATAAAACATGTTTCCATCCGTGTCATTAAATCTGATGAAATTTGTATCAATCGGTAATATACTAAAGATAATCTATAACAGTAATAAATAGCAAAACATAAAATGAAGATAACATCCTTATTAAAAACTTGCTGTGGTAGATCTACATTAATTGGACAAGGCTGTAACAGATGGGAGAATAGTCTAGTATGGACTTAAAGACACGTGTCTTGTCAGATAACACCTGCCTTTTACATAATGATATAAGATGCCATAATATACTCTTACGAAAAAGTAGGGGATATTCAGAAACAATACAAAACTGCGGAAATGCACTGTTGTTTTTATTAGAGGTAAACAGTGTATGTTAATAACAGGTCAATTGCCTACACATGAACATAAACAGTTCATACGGGCGGCTTATCTGACGGCTCATTTTACTCGCAAAGAGATACACTGTCAAAAGTGAAAATGCACGTTTTTGATTTTTGTCTTAATAATGAGTAGTTGCTCCACCAATCCTAAGACATTCAGCAATTCGTCGTGACATGCTCCTAATCAACCGTCGAATCACAATTTGGGGCAATCTGACCCACTCCCCTTGTAGTGCCACGGCCAATTCTTGCAGTGTCGTCGGTTGAAGTTGACGTCGACGAACACATCTCCCGATCATGTCCCAGACAATGTCCCAGACAGGCTCTATAGGGGAAAGGTCAGGACTCATGGCTGGCCAAGGCATATGGACAATATGGTTAGCTTGTTCTCCCTCTATCCATCTCTTGCAAAATATGGGCGTATTTTGCCTGGCAACTGCTGGTTATCTTAGAGTACGACATTTATAGTGATGAAAACAAGAAATGAAATTATAAACTCAAATTGCCTTAAAATGAACTAGAAACAAATTAGTTGTTACAAAACGTAATATTCAAACTACTTCATGTATTATATCCCATTATATAAAAGGCGATAAAAGTGTGGGGTGTATTCAGAGTGATATTCTTAGATTCTAACAGACGTTAATGCATTCTATTTCCAGGTATGAATACGGGGTCGTATTATGCTATTGGAACATTATTAAACGCTGTCGTGCTTCATTATTTCCCAGTAAGTAAAATTAATTAACAGATGAATCTAATATCCTAATTATTATTGATCGTCCAACCCATTACGTTTTGGTAAAGATATCAGTGAAAAGTGAGTTATAATTAACATAACGATCGATGATTCCTGATAACAAGATTTCGCACTTTCGCCGGTGTGCTCGAGACGTTTGTTCTAATTTTTTTATCACAGGTGTATTTGTAAAGACCTGTCCAGGTATCCTCTTAAAGGACAATATTGGTGCCAGTCATTATCACATATGTGATAGAGCTGGTTAAACACATTCCAAATATACTTTTAACACAGAGATCATGGAGCCATCGCTCCATATAACTGACTGAAGCGACGAGTCATAACAGATACACGGCCGAATTTCTGCTCACTAATAATTCCTTCGAAGACCAAAAGCTGTTGTGTGAGACGTGAGGGGATATCTGTCAATTCAGAAAAGAATTTACTGCCACTAGATAAGAGAACACGAAAGAAAAACAGAAAAAGTCCGTGCATTACCATGTTTTTATAAGGTATAGACTGAATGTAAACAAGGGAATGTACGGACTATTTATACTTTTCTCGTGTTCTCTTATCTAATGACATTCAATTACTTTATTGAATTGTCAGATATCCTCTTACTGTGTTTCAGTCCCATATAACAACTCTTGGTCTTCGAAGGAATTATTAGTGAGCAGAAATTCGGCCGTGTATCTGTTATCACTCGTCGCTTCAGTCATTTATATAGAGCGGTGACTCATGTTTTCCTTTGACGTTCGTCACTTCCGATGCGGGAAACGTGTATTACTCAGCTATCGTCGCAATGATCTCTGTGTTAAAAGTATATTTGGAATATGTTTAACCAGTTATATCACATATGTGATAATGACTGGCACTAATATTATCCTTTAAAGACAGACATATCCTAGACACCTAAAATAACTATTGACACTTGACACATATTTATACAAACGGAACAATTATAATTGTTACATACAATAAATTTAGTTCTACTTTTCATGACATGGACATATTAACTATTCACAGTTTATATATACATTTACATTTTTTTCACTTATCATGACATAATCATATATTATGAACACATACATAACAATTTTTCTACGGCGGCTACAAACCTGTCGGGCAAAACACCCAACTCATGTCATACTAATTTCTGTTCAAATGGAATAAAAATAAACACTGTGGCAGTTATCCAAAAAACATAATATTGTATCATAGTGATTGGCGACAGTGTATTTTAGCCGACAAAACGTCGTTGACTATCTGTAAGAGCCCGTTGATTTTGTGTGTGGGTGGCCGGAGTTGGGCGAGTGAAAATATTACCAGTTTAGAACGCAGTTGCCCACAAACACGCCCAATGCGCCAAGCGCACCTCCCACTCTATAGTTAAAATCCAACTCTATGTCCAACTTGAATATCAAACAGATTGTAACAAATCCATCAGACTGTTGCAGCTGCTTTCGCAAATAACTAGAGCCACGTCTCGTGACAGTCATCCAGCATTCGAAAACTGAAGCCAGATTTATTTTCTTTCGCAATTTATTTCATGACGGTCTGAATGCGCCGGAATGCGTCGATAGTCATTCTATGGGATCAAGTAGGAGAGAACTAATAACCCGAAATAAATTACCCATTCTGAACACATTTTACCTTTTGTTTTAGTCAGACTATTTTTATTTTGCAGTTTACCTTGCCCGCTTATAAATAAAGAATGGTCTTTAGACCGGTCTCTTTCGCTGATGCAAAGTTGCCGGCAAATAATCCTCGGACAATGAAGCAGTTCATTGATATATACGTCGTTAGCACCATTGTTTGGTTCGCCACGAATCTCAAACAGCATTTATATTATATTATATTCACAGTTGAATATGATGCTTATCATCCAATTTCATTTTATCTTAGACCCGCAGATGCCACTAAAATACGTCATGAGCTTAAATTCATTTTTATTTCTCTAATCAGAATGAAGAGATGAAAGCTGGTCAGATTGGTTTAACCATTATACTGTCTGGTGTGGCAGGATCTATACTGGCTGGTATCTGGCTAGATAAGACTAGAACTTTCAAGTGAGATTTATTTTATGTTTTTATAAATTGGCAAAAATAATATTTGTGACCGCGGTGTTAATTCATTACTGATGAGATATCATGAATACACCCACATTTTATTAGTTTAATAGTTGTGGCAGGAATAGGCCCACATTTGATTAGGGTAATAGTTGTAACAGTTATAAACCAGCTTTTCAAACATTGAAAATATCACTTTAAAGAGTCGGCACATCATTATTGGTGGATCTAAATGCAATCTTACATAAATTACTTCCGATTTTCTCTACTTGTTCATAATTTCTTGTATAGACTTTAGCGGTTATAAATTAACCGCTGGAACTCAAGGAGTAACATCTTAATCGAAGAACAGAATGGGAGCTATTGTGCTGACGATCATGGATTGTCATTCTGATATCAATAAGAATTTTGTTTTACATTAGCAAGACACACAAACCATATCTATGTGCTGAAAACATGGCGAGGCTGATTGTTTTGAATGCACACTGTATGCAAGTTTTAGTCAAACACTTACTATGTGTTGTTGAAGCTTGCTGTCGTTAGTGCATCCTTGATATCCCCAGTGGTATCATTCTGTTTGGCTCCACTAACCCCTAGGTTCATCCATGGGGGAGAAATGTATTTAAATTTCACATCTTTTATATTAAATTTCTTGCAAACTTTCTCATAATCTATTGTTGTGGACGTAAACAATGAGGCTAAGACTGGTTTATAAACTGTTTTTGATTGGTTCGTAGAATCAAGCTACGATCAATGGCAGATAATTTGAATATTTGTATATCCCATGGATGAACCCAGAGTAGAGTAGAACGGAATGAGACCACTGGAGAATGATTGATTCCATAATTATTAGTACTCTTTTTCTATGATATTATATTCATTCATTTTTTTATAGCGAACAAGAATGACGACAAACTCACTATGAATTTGATCTGTCTAAAAGTATTATTTTTTTTGTTGTCTATAAATTATAATCAGATTCACTGAATTACGTAAACTAATATTATATTGTCTTATTCTATTTTTAGATCTACATCCCTAGGTATTTATATCTTATCTATGGCTGGAATGGTAGCTTTTACCTTTACCATGAACCTTGGTCATATATGGATAGTCTTTATTACCGCCGGTTCTTTAGGGTAACTATTCAAACACCTAACCCAAACTCTTTCGTTCATTTACCGGTACTTGTGTGATTGGTCACTTTAATGTCCTGTTCAAATTGGTGGCCTCAACACATAAACTGGATCGTAAATGGTTTGTCTGGTGACAGCTTCAGGAAAATGAACATGTTTCATGTTTGTAAACCCTAATCAATGTTTATAGAGATACATTATCTTCAAACCAAAATGACATGTGTACGACTGGTGCCCCGTGTATTCATTACCACTGTAGCTGGAATTCAAAGCAGAATCGATGTCGTCTAGGCAAATTGTAATAGTACATTAAAATGTAAACGTTTTACATAAAATGTCTGCATATAAGTTAATATAAACGCATTCTAAAGCTATCAGTTCTAGTGATCGATAGGTTGATGGATATATTCATCCTGGGAAACGAGCCTCAATCTCATTGTTAACAGTCTAGTCTTGGTTGTATCAGACTGCCTGGTATCATTGTAACTTATCTTGTAAATTTAATGCTTCTGAGTTAACAGGGTGTTACGTCTATTCTACATTTATCAATATTAATGTTTGGTTTTATGTCTTGTAGGTTTTTTATGACGGGATATCTACCAGTTGGGTTTGAATTTGCTGCTGAACTAACGTATCCGGAATCGGAAGGCACTTCTTCTGGTCTATTAAATGCTTGCGCCCAGGTATTTTGTGATTATTGACTTCATTTGATTGGGTTACATAACACAAACGGTGATTTGTTATTTTTGAGCAATGGATTGCTATCGGTTTTCAATCAGTTTAACTATCATCTTCTTTTGCAATTATTTACACGAGGTAAAAATATAATAGTATATTAAATGTATTATAATAATACAGAAATATGTAAACTTTAATCATGTGGATAGAAAATGCTAATTATACAGTAATTAATATGTTATCGCTATTTATTTTCTTTTATGGGATGACTAAATCATGAAGAATATTAAAGTTTTGGGCTGGTGAAAAGAGACCGAACATTTAGATTAGCATCCAGGTGCATTTAGCTACACAACCATAATCATTGGTAAAATTATGACGACAAAAGCCGCCTTTGATGGAATATGAAAGATTGCTCTAGTGGACGTAGATAATGGTTTAGTTTCTGGTCACAGTCAGATATCAATCTTAACCATACACCTCCATTTATCATTTCAGTTTTTCGGTATTATTTGTACAATTGGTATGAGGGCTATTATGAATAAAATCAGTGTACTAGGAGCCAATATAGCTGTAGCCATTCTTTTATTAGTGGGATCCATTATGACAGGTACACCTTTAATAATCTTTGATCTGTTCTCGCCCATATACAACTCAAACAATAAATAACAAATAATATGCATTAAGTCTGTCGCAACCCTTAGGATCAGATTTTTATTGAATTATTGATACATAATAATAACACTTATTAATAGATACAACTAAATGTATACAGTTAGTGGTCTAAAAACCGGAGATAAAACTTTATAGGACAAATACTCTTTATATACCTATCGACCCCGTCAAACCGTTATGTGAAAAACATACTGTTAAACTTGAAGTTATCAACTCGACGACAAGCTAAAATGACCCGAACGTGTGCATCTAATTGATATTTATATGTCACGATCTATGAACAGGTAGCTATTTTCAGCTATACATTGAAACGCTGCAAAAAATATTTCTCTTACGGAAAGGGGGTAATTGTAAATTACTATTGAATTAAGTTTTGGGGACATGGAATAAAATCATTGTAAAAAAAAATGAAGGGGATAGGATTGATACACAAATGCATTAATTTTTACACGTTGTTTCGTATTCAATTTCAGCTATCATTCGAGCAGATTACAGACGCCAGAAAGCTGGAGATGATGTAAGTTAACCCATAGATAATACCGTATGCTTGCCGCCCGTCCGTCCACCATTTGTTTGTGGACAGTCTACAGGTCACAATTCTTATCCGATTTTGACGAAACTTGAAATACCCTATAGGTTTAGTCCCAAAAGATCTCGGTCGCTTTTGATATTGTCATGTATCGGATCAAAACTTCATGGATTATGGCCCCTGATTGTACTAAAAAACACGTTTTGTTGTTTGTGGTCACTGTAGAGGTCATAATTTTTATCCAATTTACATGAAACTTGAAATTGGTGTTTATAACCCAAAGATCTCGGTTCCTGTCGATATTCGCGCATATCGGACCCCAACTTTCTGGATTATAGCCCCTGGTTGTACGAAAAATCGCTTCTTTAGCTTGAGGTCACAATTTATTGTTAAAAAAATATATCACCGTTACACCATATTGCCGATTGAATTTGAATTTCCTAAAAATCGGACCGAAACTTCTCGAAAAAATGGCCGCTTCTTGAACACAAATAGTGTAAAAGTATGTAATTTAAAGGTTGTGTACCCGGTAGGGGTCATAATTTTTATCTCATTTTGATTAAACTTAAAATATAATGTTTATATCCCAGAGATTTCGATTCCTTTTTATATTCACGCATATCGGACAATGACGTCCTTGACTATGTTCCCTGATTTTACGAAAAATCGCTTCTTTTTTTTTAGCTTGTTTTCTGCCCATCTCTTGCAAAATGTGGGCGTATCTTAATTTATTCCAACAAACTGTTCCTACCCTACCACAATAACTTCAGAATAAAATCAGGGGGTTGGATCAGAAGGTCTGCCATTGAGTCAGTTGGCGTGGTTTCGATTTCCCGCTTGTACGGGACAAGGAGTTGGGTCGACTGTTCAACCTTGTGGGTCTTCTCACTGCTAAAAGACCCCTTCGCGCAAACGAATTATTGAAATAAAATTGAACCATTTGTTAGTCCTGAAAATGACCAAGTTTGTGTCGCGTGGACGTTAAACCCCATCTCTCTCTCTCTCTCTCTCTCTGTCTGTCTCTCTCTATCTCTCAGAATAAAAGAATAAAATCAGAATAGGCTATCTCTCTCTCTCTCAGAATAAAAGAATAAAAATCAGAATAGGCTATATTATCTGCCATGCAAACTGAAGTTAACCATACAGCTGACCAGACAAACAAAGAATAAATTAACAAAAATATTTTGATTTACTGTACGGTTTAAAATTTGTGATAGTGCTTCAGTAAATGTTTTACATTTGGTTGGAATAAGGCCTATATACCGGGGAAAGGGTGAAATTTTGAGTCGGTGTTTTTGCATCAGTAACACAGGTATAACTTATTTTAAGGGTTTTACTCTTAAAGAATATGAGTCTTCCAAAATATTATTTTAATCCACGACAAAAGTGTAACACTACGGTCAATATTATCTATAGTCTTGTAAATTGAATACATAGAAATCAAATTGCCTTATAAGTTGAATTAATTGCCTACTTCACATGATATTGCCTCATACCCTATTAATATATTTTTTAGTTTGTGAAGCGAACAGACCATGTAGATATCGATTTACCAAAGCAGAATGGTGTTCCAGAAATACGGGCTAGTTTGGTTGATTTACAAGAACGATCTAATTACTGATGTCACTCGGTTGAAATGAAATGCCGAATTCTCCCAGTCTGCAGTGAATAAGTTACGACGTGATCCTGTATAAATCAATGTCCCCCTTAATATTTTCCATGTCATAAGGATTGACGCTAATGCTCAATGGTGTTTTTGAAGTGATAAAATCAAATATTGTTTGACCTACAATCAAAATATTAGAAAAAAAGGTATATTCATAATCATGTCAAATACACTCATCGTCTTGTTATCAAGCTAGAGGCTAGATTTGAAAAGAGGCAGACCTTATTGATTCAGGTCAAAATATAATAATGAATTGGGGTTATCGGCTATAGGACAAAATCTATAAAATTATCTTTTTGCTTCGAAATGTTAAGCTGAAAGCTAAATTTTAAAGGGGCAGACATATATTTGATTTAGATCAAAATATAATATTGAATTGGGGTTTAGTTCCTGTGTTATTTCGATCAGTTATAGGACAAAATCTATAAAATTATATTTTTGCTTCGAAAGGTTAAGCTGAAGTCGACATGTTTACTAATATTTGTTTAAAATTGTCAATTGATTTAGTGTATCGACAGCAGAACACAAAATCGATTTTATCTGTAGGCAGATGAACACACGTACAGTCATGCCACAATCGATAATTTTATTTTTGACCCAATTGAAAACGGTTTAGCCATTTCAAAACATGTATGGACTCATTCTTCCAGGTTATGATTTTTTCATGTAATTAAATTGGTAACGAATAACACATAGTCTGGAGGTTCAGTGCGGGGGTGTCCATCAAATGGGCACAAAACCAGACACAACTTTTCTAGAGTAAAATTATGCGTAGAATACGATGCCTAGTGGTAATCAGTCCGCCGTTGGGGCGTTTTCGAGATATTCGGGGTCAAAGGTCAAATGGGTTCATTTGCACTGAAAGTGAATGCGCAGTCATTCTTGTATCAAGAAAATAAGCTGAAAATGATCGAAACTAATCACACTTTCAATACAAATGTAAACTTGCTAAATTCACGTTTGTTCTTTGTGACCCCAGAGGTCAAAATTTTCCGTTTTAGCACTAGGAAGATTTAAAGTAATAAATGTCAGCGTAAAATATAAAAACTAAACTGAAACCTGTTCTAATTAATAATAGGAACATTCAAAATTTATCTTTAGGTGGTCTTAGCACCGAACTTTTACTTTGGAACGTCGAAAATGATCTTGGATAACAGAACCAAAACGCTTCGGAACCTGTTTCAAAAATACGTAAAAATTGTTAAATCAACCACATAAAAAACCAAACTCCCGGTTACGCATGGGCAATGGAACTTTCCTTACGTTGAAGACTAGGAGGTTCTGGGTGACCGAGACTAAAGTTCAAAAGAAATATAGCGGGCGCATGATTGTTAGACCGGAGGCTCAGCGCCTGGATGATAGAGACTACTTTAGCGTTGCTGATTTTCGTCATAGCCAAGGGAGATAAATGCAATTTTAATTTCCTTTTTAGTGCTGGGCTAGGTTAAAGTAAAGTAAGAGTTTCGCCCCTTCCCGCAATAAATCCCATAATTCATAAACATAAACAAACATGAATCGTGGCGACGAATTAGGATTAATTAAAAAAAACAAAACAAAAAAAACCCAACATAAATATGGACCATGAAGAGAGAAATTTTACAATAAATAAAAATGAGAGTGTTGGATATTGAACTGGCAAGGCAATCAAATGGATTTTCTGAAATGGCATTCTTAAATTAATATTATGGGCGTCGACATCTTGTTTTATCCTAGTTATCTCCCTTAGACTTTGTTTATGATAATGTAAAAAACTGGATAATCTATCCAATGACCTATTATTCTCGAAAGTTGACAACGCATCCAGACTAATATTCGTGGAATATTTTTCTGGATGATAGAGACTACTTTAGCGTTGCTGATTTTCGTCATAGCCAAGGGAGATAAATGCAATTTTAATTTCCTTTTTAGTGCTGGGCTAGGTTAAATGTAAATAAAACTGCCTTTGTTCGTTGTTGTCCTTGTTATATTATTGCTGGACACGGTCAAACTACTCACAACTATTATTCAGCACGGCAATATACCTACTGCTTACATATTCACGCGTTTTGAATCACCAAGTTACATTATGGCTTCTATGAAGAACAGTATTCCCCAATATACCTTAGTTAAATTACACTATTTGTTTTTTTATTTTACTGTAAATATGGTACGAAAACAGTTATTCTTCCCAATCAACAGCTTTAACATAATATACGATATAGTGTGATGTATAAACTGTATTCTTATAATTTACATTGTGTTCAATATATTATACATGATATTTTGTTATTGAATAAACTGGTTGATATTTGAAATGATTTTTAAAATCAGTTCCTCTGTATTATTAAAACCAGCGGCTGCCAGGCAGGATACGCCCACATTTTACAAGAGATGGATAAAGAACAAGGTAAAAACAAATGGGATTTTTTGTACAATCGGGGGCAATAATCCAGAAAGTTATGGTCTGAAATGCGCAAGTATCAAAAGAGACTGAGAGCTTTGGCATATAAAAATATATTTTAAGTTTCATCAGAATCGGATAAAAATTGTGACCTCTTGAGGGTCGACAACCTTCGTATTGCATAGTTTTACACAATTTGCGTACAAAGAGCGGCCATTTTGTTGGTCAATTTCATTTCGTTTTTCCCAAAATTCGAATTCAACCTTCATTATGGTGGAATGGTGAAATATTTAAACGGTTTTTAAAATCGGAAAAAAGATTGTGACTTCTAGAGAATCCGCAAGCTAAAAATGCCATTTTTCGAACAATCAGGGGGCATAATCCAGGAAGTTAAGTTCGGGTATCCGCGATTATCAAAAGGGTCCAAGATCTTAGTGTGTAATGGTATTATATTCACACATTTGTTTTAAATCAGATAAAAATTGTGACCTCTAGAGGAACCTCAAGCTAAAAATCAGGAAGTTACGGTCCGATATGCGCGAATGTCGAAAGGAACTGAGATCGTTGGGTTATAAACTTACATTTCAAGTTTCAACGAAATCGGATAAAAATTGTGACCTCTATAGGGTCCACAACCTTGATATACCATATTTTTACGCTATTTGAGAACGATGGGCGGCCATTTTGTCAGTCAGTTTTGGTCCGATTTTCACGTAATTCAAACTCAGACATCCTTGGGGTGTAACGGTGATATATTAAAACGTTTTTTTTTTAAATCGGATAAAAAATTATTACCTCTATAGGGTCCACAAGCTAAAAACGCGATTTTGCGTACAATCAGGGGCCATAATTCAGGAAGTTACGGTCCGATATGCGCGAATATCGAAATGAACTGAGATCTTTGGGTTATAAACTTACATTTTAAGTTTCAACAAAATCGGATAAAAATTGTGACCTTGATATACCATATTTTTTACGCTATTTAAGAACGATGGGCGGCCATTTTGTCAGTCAGTTTTGGTCCGATTTTCACGTAATTCAAACTCAGACATCCTTGGGGTGTAACGGTGATATATTAAAACGTTTTTTTTTTTAAATCGGATAAAAAATTATTACCTCTATAGGGTCCACAAGCTAAAAACGCGATTTTGCGTACAATCAGGGGCCATAATTCAGGAAGTTACGGTCCGATATGCGCGAATATCGAAATGAACTGAGATCTTTGGGTTATAAACTTACATTTTAAATTTCAACAAAATCGGATAAAAATTGTGACCTTGATATACGATATTTTTTACGCTATTTAAGAACGATGGGCGGCCATTTTGTCAGTCAGTTTTGGTCCGATTTTCACGTAATTCAAACTCAGACATCCTTGGGGTGTAACGGTGATATATTAAAACGTTTTTTTTTTTAAATCGGATAAAAAATTATTACCTCTATAGGGTCCACAAGCTAAAAACGCGATTTTGCGTACAATCAGGGGCCATAATTCAGGAAGTTACGGTCCGATATGCGCGAATATCGAAATGAACTGAGATCTTTGGGTTATAAACTTACATTTTAAGTTTCAACAAAATCGGATAAAAATTGTGACCTTGATATACCATATTTTTTACGCTATTTGAGAACGATGGGCGGCCATTTTGTCAATCAGTTTTGGTCCGATTATCACGAAATTCGAACTCAGCCATTCTTAGGGTGTAACGGTGATATACTAAAACGTTTTGTTTTAAATCGGATAAAAATTATGACCTGTATAGGGTCCAAAAGCTAAAAACGCGATTTTTCGTACAATCAGGGGCCATAATTCAGGACGTTATGGTCCGATATGCGCGAATATCGAAAGGAACCGAGATCTCTGGGTTATAAACATATATTTCAAGTTTAAACAAAAATCGGATAAAAAATGTGACCTCTACAGTTTTCACAAGCTAAAAACGTGATTTTTCGTACAATCAAGGGCCATAATCCATGAAGTTACAGTCCGATACATGCCAATATCAAAAGGAACCGAGATCTTAGGGTGATAAACCTATATTTCAAGTTTAGTTGAAATCGGATAAAAACTGTGACCTCTAGAGTGTTCACAAACAATTGTGGACGGACGGACGGACGGACAGGGGCGACGACAATATACGTCCACATGAAAATGTGGGCGTATAAAAATGGGATAACACCACTTCTTGGTCCTGGCCTTCTCGAGGTTGGTGTTTTAAGTGAGTGCATCGGTGCATATAAGGTCTGCTGTACACTTCTTATCATTACAGGAACATGTTGTTGCCATCCATACAATAAGCCAGTTGGATATATAAGTCTATTCGCGTAGCTGGCCTTTTTATACGCCCACATTTTAATGTAGACGTATATTGTCATCGCCTCCGTCCGTCCGTCCGTCCGTCTGTCTGTCTGTCCGTCCACTTGTTTGTGGACACTCTTAAGTCTACAGGTCACAATTTCTATCTGATTTTAACGAATCTTGAAATATATGTCTATCTCCCAAAGATCTCGATTCCTTTCGATATTGCCATGTATCGGACCATAACGTCATGGGTTATAACCCCTGATTGCACGAAAAATCACGTTTTTAGCTTGTGGACACTCTAGAGGACACAATTTTCATCTGGTTTTGATGAAATTTAAAATGCATGTTTATAACTCAAAGATCTTGGTACCTTTCGATATTCGCACATACCGGACCGTAATTTCCTGGATTATAGCCCTGATTGTACGAAAAATCGCGTTTTTAGCTTGTGGTCCCTCTAGAGGTCACAATTTTTAACCGATTTTAAAAAAAACGTTCAAATGTATCACCGTTACACCCTAATGACGGCTGAGTTCGACTACGAGGGTTTTGATGAAACTTAAAATATATCTTTATATCCCAAAGATCTCAGTCCCTTCCGATATTCGCGCATTTCAGACCATAACTTCTTGGATTAGGGCCCCTGATTGTTCTCTATCCATCTCTTGCAAAATGTGGGCGTATTGTGCCTGGTAACCGCTGGTTTGTTTTTGATTGGGTTCAAAAATGAAATTTTTGATTTGATTTGTATCTTGAATTGTTTTTTTTTAGGGGGTGACAATCGAATCGAGTCTTGGGTGAAAATGTAACCGATATAGATAAAGCAAGTATTAAGATATAGTCGTTACTGTGTTCCACTGTCGACACAGCCAAAAATGAAAAATAATGCTTGGCGAAATCGATTGCAATCGCTGGTTTGTTTTGGATTGGGTTCAGAAATTAAATTATTGATTTGATTTGTATCTTGAATTGTTTTTTTAGGGGGTGACAATCGAGTCTTGGGTGAAGATGTGACCGATATAGATAAAGCCAGTGTTAAGATATAACCGTTACTGCGTTCCACTGTCGACACAGCCAAAAATAAAAAATAATAAAAATATTTTGCGAAATCGATTGCTTGATAAAGACGTAGATATACCAAGTCGAAAAGTTGTCTGCTAATAACCAGTATTGTATTCTATAGAATTGTGTCCTGTATAAATCAAAGATGACCTGTGTTGTTAATAAATAAAAGTTGTTTTTTTTCAGTGAAAAATTATTTGGTATATTTCCATCTTTCTACTGCTATGCTATGCCTATTCAAATTAAACTAATACAACAAAACATTTTCAGTTAAGAAAAACAAGGTAGACACTTTCTTCTTACACGTAACACCCGTTACTAACATGGGTAATATGTTTTACCAAAAATACTTTAGTTGTCATGTCAAAATATAGCTGCTTTGTCATTAGTGAAAGGTAAGCCATCCATGACGTGTTGTACATTCGTCAGTCGGGGTGAATACCTGTTAAACAGCGTTGTTTATATAGGTCCTTACATGGCATGCGCATAGATACTACACTCGGTGAGCTATGGCAGTATAATGTTTACTGTCATATTTTATTCGCGGTAACAGGATGTAATTTAACAAATTCATGGTGTAGGACTTATAAATAAACATTATATTAATACAATATGACACAGATGGATATCCAGATATAAGGAAAGACACCAGGAAGGTAAGAGAAACACTCATACCATATTATTATCTAAGTAACGTTTGATTACCAAAACAATCGATACAGTTGTGGTCAAGGTCAATACTATTAAAGGGGGACAATTCATCTTCCCAGTAAGAATATTTCACATATTACATATTATTTCCTAAGTTGTTAGTAATTCAATAACTGCTGACGGTTTACATTTTTTTTTATTGAAAACTAACTAACGAACCAACCATATTATGTTATGTGTGTGTTTTAGCTACAGTTGTCCTATAGTTTTTCGGGATTTGCATATGAAAGTAATCAACTCTGAAAATCATAAGAAATTAAATGTTTGTCAAAACATAAGTATGAATCGCTGACATAAAGTACGCTTTAGTGGATGGTCATAGTTAACCGCAAAAGAGTAATAAGCAGTTGCACAGTGCCGGACTGGGTCCACCTGTCCGTGACAGGTGGGCCTAAGCTCATTAAAAAAAGTGGGCCTAAGCCTATAAAGAAAAAATAAAAAGAAAAAAAAGAAAGAAAAAAAGAAAAGAGAAAGAAAGGAGAGGGGAAGGAAAGAAAAGAAAGAAGGAAGGAGAGGACAGGACACATGACAGGAGAAAAAAAAATTGCCTTCTTCGCTTTAGTCTGAAATGCTTGGAAAATGGGTTTGCGGTTGTCAATTTTCAAAATTTTCCTGGGGGAGCCCCCTCCCCCGACCACCCTCGGACGTTCGCGTGCCTTCGGTGTGCCCGTGAAGCGCCTTCGGCGTGTACTTGCGTGGGCCTTGGTCAATGACCTAACAGGCACTGCAGTTGCAATATTATATACGATCTAATTTAATATCAGTTATTCCAAAAACGCTGTAATCGTAAAAGATACATTATCTAAAGATTTAGATAAAGAGCTGACCATTCTTGCTATAATAGCTCAAAAATAGATAATGTAAAATAAAAATATTGAAAATTTCATTCAAATTACTTCATTCTTAGCCAAGTTATGACAGTTTGTAGTTTTGACAAGATGTGTGCATAGATGTAACCAGGGCATTGGTATATTCGAGAATTAGCCTCGCTTTCCCATTTTTAAAATAAATTTTTAAATTGCGAACCGTTCAAATCTAGTTAGAATCTTGAGTATCCGATGCCATCGAGAATTGATTATGATCTTGTTTTGTTAATAAATGTCTATTTAATAGTTTATATAACTAAAAAAGGGCTCTGCAACAGGCAGATTTAGCTCTTGCATAATGTATGTTTAATTCCAATTTCTCCAGGAAGGCCAAACACAAGATCTAATTTTAATTCGTAACCGCTGATCCTTATTTTCCCGTTATATCCTTAATTACCTACGAATTGCTCATCATAAATGGATTATATTAATAATCGATACTTTATTTTCAGATATACACCTAGAAAATAACCAGAAAGTAAGCAGAGATTCTTGTTTTCTAATAAGCCTGTACTATTCACGTATAACCAGAAAGTAAGCATAGATTCTTCTTTACTCATAAGTCTGTACTATTCACGTATATCCCCCACACCCACCTCCTCCACCAACTGGTTTTACATAATTTTACATTTTTTTATTTAACGTGCGTGTCCGATAGAAATATACGACATTCCCACCGGATAACTCGTATCTCTCGACAAGAGTGGTCACGTTTCATTCTTTATGAAGTACATGTATAAGCATTGGATTAAATGAAATGGGGTTTAACGTCCTACTGTTCTGCTCCTAACCTGGGCTAATGAAGACGGAAGCATTGGTTTATCAATTGCATATGGTGTAAAAGTATATCATTTGAAAGAAACTTCGAGTATCACCAGATGGTTTAAAGCATAAACATTAACTAAAGCAACGTAATGCTGCTAACAAATGTATGGGCTTTTGTATTATCAATTTGTTATTAAATTGCATAAAAAAGGGGGAAAAGCATTAAATGAAATAATATAATAATTGTACCGAATCTATTTTATAACAAGCACGATCTACGCTGAGATATAAATCTGAAGAAAGGGGATACTATAATCATTAATTAACGGGTCAGAGCCGAGAGGAATACGTGTCTACCTTAACACTTGCACCCCTTCGTCCCCGAAACCCACCCTGCTACGCCACTGTGTAGAAACGTCAATCACAGGTAATGTGGTGTAATCCCCAATTCTACACGCTCCCTGATTCAACTATGAGTTATTTTGTTTTTTGTGTGTCTTACAGTGGCGGCCAGTTATAACATGAACCATCAGAGACGAGGAAAAGCAGTCGTTATAAATAATGTAAATTTTGCTCCAAGGGCGAGATTACGTCGACGCGACGGTTCCAGACAAGATTATGATTCGATGAGCAAATGTATGAGAGGTCTACGATTTGAAGTCGAAGCACACGAAGATAAAGGAAAAGACGAAATTCTGAAAATATTTGAAAAGGGTAAAATCTATAAATATGAAATAACAAATCATTGTAATATTATGTGGACTTTACCCCTAAAAAGTTATGAGTCGACGAAATTTCCTATAGCAAAGTAGTATAAGGTGGTCTTTAAAAGTAAGCACATGGTGCACGATACCCATCATTACTAATGGTATGTAAACTATGAAAGAGAAACATAAGTGGTCTTTAAGAGTAAGCACACGGTGCACGATACCCATCATTACTAATGGTATGTAAACTATGAAAGCGAAACTTCGGTTTGATTGAATAAATGTTAAGTTTATGGATGACATGGACATATGGTACCCACTTACGATGTCCAGAAAGTACACACCAAAGGTGCAAGCTCTAGCATATCGTTAAAAAGTAAGAAATATACACACATATCATAAAATCGAACACCAAGCTTATGGTTCGCTTAAATCAGTATCTTTTATCAATAGTTTGGTATAGGATTGAATAAAACAAACCCGGTTCTGGTAAATGGGGGTGGGATACGGGCACATTTGACATTTCAATTTCTTGTCCTAAACCGCGTGATGGATTTCAACATACTTTTGTAGGCATCTTGCCTGGGGCGTATGTTTTGGATTTGTTTAAATGAATAGAAAGTCTCCGTAGAGACACGTTGATGGGTAAATTTTGACACTTTCTACCAACTTTTCTAAACCGATCGGTATAATGCTTATTTAGATTTTACAAATGACGTTTACAGCCACACAAAGAATTTTACTTGGTACCACCAGACTGGGAGCGCGGCATTTCGTGGAGGAAACTTGAAACATTGTATCTTAACCTATATTTAGGATGCTAAAATCATTACATTATTAACATACCAATACAGCTTGAACATCTATAATGGTCGATTAAACCCAGTCACACTTTTATTTGTTCTAAATTTTGTACTGAAATTGTTTTTTATAAACAATTTCAGTTGCTAAAGAAGATCACAGCAATGCTGACTGTTTATTGGTATCTTTGATGTCTCATGGTGGTGAAGAGGGGATATGTGGTAATGACTACAACAGATACCAAGGAACTGGTTTACTCACTTTAAATGATATCACAGAACCATTTAAGGGAGACAGATGTCCTACCTTAGTTGGGAAACCCAAAATATTCATTTTAAATGTATGTCTTTTTTTATTACTTAGACATTATTCTAAATGATATTTAGAAACAAAGAACTATTTTGTCTAACCGACAGTCAAAAGCCAGAAGAATCCTATGGACGAATTGGAACAAATAATCAAGCAAACATTTATAGATTTATCTGACTCTCGCTACTATTACATTTCCTGCTAATTTCCCAAATTGCAGAGATAAACGTTGGGCTGCTTATACGCCTTTGGGGTCTTGTCTCATACAATTTTATAATGGAAACCACTCTACTTGACTCGGTTACAGACCTTCAGATCTAAAATGCAAGAGTTAAATCCCCACCTCCCATAGGTAAAAAAAACCCCAGGGCAATGGTTCTTTATTAACAAGTCATGCCACAGCGTTGGATTAGAAGGTCATGCCACAGCGTTGGTTCAGAAGGTCTGTCATTGAGTCAAGTAGAGTGGTTTCTATTCCCCGCTTGTTCGTGACAACCTCGTGGTTTTTCTCTGGGTCCACGGGGGGTTGGTTGGCTGAATGGTTAGCGTGCGCGCGCTGTATCATAAAGTCTGCCATTGAGTCGACTGGCGTGCTTTCGAATCCCCGGTTGTACGTGGCAAGGAGTAGGGTCGCCTGTCCAACCTCGTGGGTTTTCTCCGGGTCCTCCGGTTTCCTCCCACTGCTAAAGACCCCTACGGGCAAGCGAAATATGTAAATAAAATTAAACCATATGTTAGTCCCGAAATGACCTCGTTTGTGTCGAATGGACGTAAAACCCCATTTCTCTCTCTCTTTCTCTGGGTCCACCGATTTCCTCCTACTGCTAAAGACCCCTTCGAGCAAACGAATAAATGAAATTAAATTGAACGATGTTAGTCCCGAAATGACCAAGTCTGCGTCGAGTGGACGTTAAACTCCATTTCCCTCCCTTCTTTGTCATGGATGACTGTTGTATTAATGACTTGCATCCGATTTTTTTTTATCAAAGTAACGGTGTACAAATACAATATATATTCCTTCAGGCTTGCCGTGGTGATGAGATAGATCTTGGAGTGGAGGAATATGATCAAACTGATAGCCACCAAAGTTTACCTGCACTGCCAAAAATACACAAGATTCCCTTTGACGCTGATATCTTTGTTTGTTTCTCTTGTTCACAGGGTAAGCCGTTATAACCTGTCTAATACTTTATATTATATCTTAAAATACAGATGTGACGTCACCCTTTGATGTTGGCGTACCATTATTTCAAATAATCGTACGGGCAACTTGCCAATAGTACTTTATTCATACCAGTGAGATATTGGACTAGTGTGACGTAAAAGCTCGTGCGGAGTGTCAGTATTTTAAGATGTTTAATGGTCTCGAGCTTACGACATTGCGTAATATATTGTAAAAACATTCGGGCCTACGGCCCTCATGTTGTTACAATATATTACTTAATGTCTCGCTCTCGACCATTAAACAATACATAATATTTCATACGCTGAATTAAATCGGGTATTATGCACGAGGATTGCTGTGAAATTCATGTGGTCAGAAGTACTGACAGAAAATAGATTTTGATTTTTGCCTCAGCTCTAAAGGGTAACAACGACACTGTACAAATCCAAATCCACCCCCCCCCCTCCCACACACACAAAGAACTAGAAACTTGCACGTTAAATATATTCTTTCAGTTTAGGTGATTGAAGACGTGCCTCCTATTTTGTAAATAGAAGGTAGAAATTACTGGTGAATTTAAATTAAAACATAGCCTTTCGTGTTACTTTACACAAGATTGGTACTATGGTTTTTCCTCAAAGTAGAATTCCCTTCTCTGTGCCTGAAACCGAATATTAGTTTTCCTTTTCTGGGTTTAGATGTATTACTTGAACTTAACTTCATTTCTTGCAGGATATTCAACACTCCGCGATCCGTTTTCAGGATCTTATTTCGTTCAGGATTTATGTAGTGTCTTAAAAGAATATGGCGAAAAGCTTCATCTTAGCGAACTTGTGTTGAAAGTAAAAGAAATGGTAGCAGCACGACAAATTCGAGTACAAGGAAGTGCTGATGCTGAAATGCAGATGCCGGTTGTTCTAGACACATTACGTAAACTGGTGTACTTTGATAAACCTAATACAAGCTTTGTACGTCCACAGCCATCAGAAGAAATTTACAGATTAATTAGACAATTCGATAACTTGTCAAAATGACCAGTATTACAAGACTAACTTTTTAAATCAGTTAATTGAGGTTATTTGTTATGTTAGTTATAATATATTTGAATGGCTGATATACACAAGTTCCTGCTATCGGGCATCTCGTAGCTTTCTGAGCAAAACGTACACTAATGATATAGCAACTGCACTTTGTTCACAATCTCGGTGGAACCACGTTAATATCTTAAGCAAAACTGATATAGCAACTGCACTTTGTTCACAATCTCGGTGGAACCACGTTAATATCTTAAGCAAAACTGTAATGTAATACAGTTTGCTTTCTAAATAGTCCAGCCCAGATAGTTAAAAAGCTAGGCTAATACAATATGCATTGTAAGGATATTATTGGAAGCTTAAGCGCCAGAGATGTGAAGCCTTTTTTATTGTTATGAATAATGTCTTGCATATTTTAGCTGTGGATGTGTAGGTATCATATTTGCTCAGCGGATATTTTGATTATTTTTTTAAAATTATAAGCTTATATAATTTTACATTAAGATTAAAAACTCGTCTCAATATAACCTCTATTTTTTGTACATTATTTATGATATAAAATACATTATATAAAATTGTTTTTAATTTTGTAGTTCTTTAGACGTTGTAGGTGTTAGGTTCATACAGGGAAAAAAACTCATGCACCAGCTGGATTTTTTTTATCAATAGACACTAACACCTTGCACATGAAAAATATCGAAACCGTCTATGGCGATACCAATTTTGATGGTCGAAGATTCACTTGAGGAACCCTTATCTTTGGCAATGATGTCACCAGCAACTGGAATGGGTTTGATGGTAGCTGACAGATTTGGCGAACAAGGTCTTCTCGGGGTCTTCCGGTGTCTTCCTACTGCTAACGAATTTTCGAAATAACATTGTGTTGTATTCGCATTCTACGCACATGCACAATGTGAATAGCCTACACACATTTCTGTTAATGTTATTACGATAAATATATCAGTTAACCGAATGTCAAATATATTTTATTCTAAAATATTAAATTACAATTATGTCAATTGCGACATCTTAAAATCCAATGGTCAGACTGTAAAATTAATCCAATGGACTGAATTCTTACAACTCCCACCCCTTTATATGCCTATATTAGCAAGCTCAAGAATTTGTAGTAAAATGACCAGATATACCAATTTATACAGCATAAGAAACAGATTGATAAGAGATATCAACCGACTGTCAACCATTAATTATAAGAGATAACTCTGTTTATGCATAAATGGTTCAGACTACCAATTATTTGCCCATTGACTTCAATGTTAAATGGCTGTAACATCACAGGCTGTAGATTTTTGCTCAACATTCCGTTGGTCTCAGTCTCTTCAGGTACACATTGGACCGCATTTGGTAATCTGCTCATCATAATTTTGCAGAGGGTTGACCGTTTAGATTTTTTGCTACGGGGATTTGATGTTCCGCTGTAATATCATCAATATTACCCAAAACTGCTATGAAATTGCAAATTTCATCCCTTTTCTCCAATTCTAGACAAAACAGTCAACCAAAAAAGAGGGGTGAAAAAAAATTAAGGGATAAATTGTCTATTTATAACTCTCACTGCATGAAATAGAGGGAAATAATTACTAGTCTTAGTCCAAATGAAATATATACCTAATTCTTACAACTCACACCCCTACAATTATGTCTATTAGAAAGCTAAACAATTAGTAGTAAAATGACCTGGACCCGGTTGCTCAAAACTAAGTTATTTTAACGATATGTTAAACGCTAACGGATCGTTATCTTGATAACTTGTCGTTTGTTAACGGTCCGTTAAATTTCTGTTGCTGGAAAGTCAATTTCATTATCCGTTATCTAACGGATTCATTAAAGTTAATCTAAGAGAATTCTGTTTGTTCATTGGCTGAATTTTAAATTCAATGTACATGTATAGCAACTTCATAAAAGTATTAACAAGAAACTGAAGACAGTGAGACAACCGTGCAGTCTCTTCACAAAACTTGATTAAAGACAAAAACATAACTGTAGAATTTACTATACAAGAAACACTATAAAAAAACTATAGAATACTTTTTTTTTTCCTTTAGAAATTTTAGCATAAATCTGTAGGAAAAATTATGGGATTTGCACTACATAATTATGGGGCCATTATTTCCTACAGGCCACCAAGATTCTGTAAAATAGTATAGAATTTCACCCTGTAGAAAATGGAATTGGCCCGCATCGCCCAACCCTCTAGAATGTTCTATAGAAAATTACATAGGTAATCTATGACTTTTTGCTACAGCCAACTAATGCCATCATTAAAGTTAACGGGGCTTCCAGCAACAACCTTTCTCTCCGTTAAAGTTAACAATCCGTTAACTCCATGTTAACGGATCGTTAAAAGATAACGGAGCTTTGAGCAAACGGCCCCTGATATCAATTTATACAGTGAGCAAGGGCCAAAGCTATTTTTAGTCTTCCTCTCCCTTTTCCTTTTTCCCCCTTTTGCATGGCGATTTTTGTTGACTTTTTGGTGTAGAATCAAGGAAAAGGGTTTGAAAATACATTTTCTGCCAGGTTTTGGTGAATATTCATAATTTTGATGCGGAAGGATACAAGAGTTGAGAGGTTGGTTAGGTTGAAATGTAGGGCCTGAAATTGCATGTTTACTTGTCTCTACTTCCAGCTTGTGTATCTCAAGATTTTCATGATGAACCTCATACGTGCTTTTGGGCAAGTGGTTGCCACATGTTGCTCCATCTGTGGTAGAAAGCGTTCTACCCAACAAAAATTTGGGAAAAAGTTAGAGCCGGTCTAAGATACGAGAATTAACATTGGAGTCAATGGGGAAATCTTTAGTGATCTGTGTCCTGTCTGTGTGTGATAAGGCTGTCACTCATATGCCTTAGTTTAGAAAATATGAAGATTAAATTCTCAGAAAATATGAATAAAATAGTTTGGCTACAGAAAAACTAAAAAAGTTAATTAAAAAAAAAAAAAAGCAAAGTTTTGAAGAAAAATTGTGATTTTACTGCAAATTTCTCAATTTTCAATTTTTATTGAATTTTTAACAGTAAGTAAAATATTCTAATGCCCAATGTTGGCTTATTCAGTCTCAGAAAGCACAGATAAAGTGAACAGTATTGAAATTTCACCAAATTTTGTCTAAAAATCAGGAATATTCACAAAAAAGCTTGAGATTCCCCCCACTTCGATGTAGAAATTAATATTTTCATGACTACTAAAATGAGTCAAAATGTCTTAAAATGCCCATATTTTCTTTGCTAATATAACTTAGATGGGATCTACATGTTTGTCAGATTTAGAAATAGCTCCAGCTTTCCTACAGAAAATTGAAAATTGGTAACACTGAGTTAATAATGTACAGCAGATGGGTTTGTACAAAATGTTCAAAACGGGGGTTGGCTCAATTTTGCCACTATTTTACTCAGAATAAGCATTTTTTTCTTCTTTGAAACATTAAATTCTTGCATTTCCTTCATGTAGGAAGCAATATCCCAGCCTTTCTAGACATTTTTTACTCCATCATTCTGTTTAGAGAGGCAATAAATGCCCCACCCACCCTTTTCTATTAATGTGTTTTGAGGGATTTAAATGGACCTGTGTTGACATGTAAATGATCTTAATTGGAATTTGTGGTTGAATTACAGCTAAGAATGTTATTTTTCACCCAAAAAATTTTTTTTGTGTGCATTTCTAGGATTTCTAACCCTTATTTGTTCAGAGTCAAACCTAGAACCCTGAGGCATTTCAGGCCAATGAGACCATTGTAATTCGAGTCGCCCATTCAGGCGGAATACTTACCCCTCACAGAGACCTTATAAACCTTCCTAAACCCTGCAACTACAATTATTTTTCGCAGCGTAACTGCAGCTGCCACGCTCTAGAGATCAGTTTGAAAGAATATTTTCAAACCTGGTGGGCTTGTTCGGCTAATTCCAAGGGGTAACATATCGAAACTAAGATGCATTACAGATTTTTTTGCATTGCCTTTGAGTGTCTGTATATAATGTGAAGAACGGATGTTACGGTTTAGTTAACACTATGATTTTAAAATATTAGAAAATATTTGAAAAATTATTAATTATCACACTTTAGCGAACAGAATCATTGCATTATATTATATATATTGTTTAGTTATTATTTCATTATCGACACTGATGTTATTTTTTTTACTTTTCTAAATCAATATTTTTATATTCAGTATTTCTATTTTGTATATTCAGTATTTCTATTTTGTATATTCAATATTTCTATTTTGTATATTCAATATTGCTATTTTGTATATTCAATATTTCCATATTTGATTAATAATTAATATTCATTTTGGAATAATAACTACTACTAATAATCATCATTTATTATTAATTGATTGTAAAATGTACTTGCCTTTTGGGATATTAAAGACATTATGTTTTAACAGCAGTATTCTTATTATTTAGGTATCTAATATGAGAACAATCCTGTAGTACAAACTATCAGTTCAAATAGCCTTGGAAAACTATACGAATTCGGATATTTGTGTATGCCCTATGTCTACCCTCTGAATGTTTCTGTACACATGTGATCAACCCTGAGACAATATGACTGATTCTTTTTGTTAAACTGCTCCATTTGTACAAAACCAATACGAAAAGCCACAGGAATTGACTAACACTTCAAAGTCGTCTCTCCTCCCGAGAAGGGGGGCTGGGGGGTGGATGGCTGAATAGTTAGCGTGTGCGCGCTGTATCATAAAATCTGTCATTGAGTCGACTGGCGTGGTTTCGAATCCCCGGTTGTACGTGACAAGGAGTAGGGTCGCCTGTCCAACCTCGTGGGTTTTCTCCGGGTCCTCCAGTTTTCTCCCACCGCTAAAGACCCCTATGCGCAAGCGAATTATTGAAATAACATTAAACCATATGTTAGTCCCGAAATCACCTAGTTTGTGTCGAGTGGACGTTAAACCCCATTTCTCTCTCTCTCTCTCTCTCTCTCTCTCTCTCTCTCTCTCCCTCCCGAGAAGAAGACACAGAAAATCAGCAGAAATAAAAACATTTGATCAAAAGTATATTGCTTATTAACGCGGTTGTGAATACAATAGATCCGAATATATCCGTTAAATTATGTTTACATTATATTTTCTCCAATAGCTATGATTATCAAACAATGATATAGTTTCGGACATTTCGTGATAGGTATTCGTTTGGAAAAGAATGTATTGAATTCGATAACTGCTACGCCTTTGTTTCAAGAATTTAGAGTACAGAAGTTCACCTATCCTTCAATGAACTGTTTTTTTCTGGAGAAAATAATTATGTCAATAAACTCCAATATCCTGTCACGGGATTGGTATTTTCGGATGTATATAGGAATATCCGCTTATGAATTATGTTTTATTGCTTTCATATACGTACCGGACCAACGATTACTGAATTTTATCCTGAATAGAATAATAAGAAACGCCAATGATCGGGGAAAACCATCATGTGATAGGCTTCCGGCCAGTTTCTTTAAAAAAAAACGCCTACTACCTGGAAAACCACGTCATGTGATAGGCTTTCTGTTAGTATATAAGATAAGGTATAAACCGTGGTAGATATTGTACAAATAATACTCACTGTTTAACGGGATATTATATTACATAGTCCATACCCATCCTTGGCTTTACTTATCTATCAAAGTGTAACAATAACAAGGTAAGTAAAATATAGTTTAATGTTGAGACTGGTTATATATACGGTCTACTTGCTGTATCGCTTCGTTCAACTCATTTGTGAAATCAAACAATTTCTCTCAAGTAAAGATATTAGTGATCTATAAATTACATAACATTGACGATTACAAATTAAATTATTATGATTAGTTAAGTTATAATTGTGCCAATATAACATCTTTGGTGTTTTTATCATTTCAGAACCAAAACCAGCAAAATAATCAGTAAGTATTTTTTTTTATTTCATCTAACCTCAAATATACATATATATAACACTTACACGTCACACCATTCGCAAAGATCAGCATCATGACACCGAACATTTTGCTAGCGCGGTAACAGTCCTACGGCCTAAAGTCAGTAGAATACATCGCCTATCATCTGTTATAGTTTGCTTTATTTAAATACGATTTAATATGGACATATATTCACGATTTATCGGATATTCGGTATCATGTGTCCTAACAGCGAAATATCTTACATGGGCACCAATTCGTGCAACGATATTCGAACATGTTCTATATTGAAAATTCATCACTTACTATATTTTTGTTCATTTCAGTGGCATCAAGTTATAGAATGAACAATTATCGACGGGGAAAGGCTGTAATTATAAATAATGTAGATTTTATGGCAGTGAATAATCGTACAGGATCAACAAAAGATTCCACAGCATTAAGTCATTGTCTTTCAAGACTTGGATTTGAAATAAGTGTACACGAAGACCAAACTAGACAGCAAACTATTGACACTTTGGAAAGAGGTAAATTATATAACCGAATTTTATCCGTCTGCGTCTGTCCAATTTCAACAGAAATATAATATTGTTTAGATAAAACAAAAGACTGACAGTCTGTCGTTTGTCTTATTAGCATTACAGAAGACTCAGTTACTCTGGTATATACTAAGCCAAATTAAAAACTTGAAACTGATGAATTTCAACAATTTTTTTTTTCTGGTAAGTCAAATAAATTTTAAAGTGTTTCTAACGATAGTAAGTAGTAAGAAGCCTTTAATTTCATAAAATTGTAAAGTCACGTGGATCACGTGACTTTTGAGTATATAAAGATGAAAAACCTGAAAAACACGTGCAAATACAAACTCGTGACGTCAATCGATGCAAGTTTGCTTAAACTGAACACGCACACGTAACTTGAACTGGAAAAACAAATTAAAATTGTTATTTTCATCTTTGTTAGAAAATGCCGCGCTATAGGTAGGCTCTATGCTGGTGAGTCTGTGGTCACTGTTGCAAGAGCCTTTAATTGTTCACGCCAGACAATAATTAATCTTAGAATGAGAGTGCTTCAAACTGGCACTATTGCCGACCGCCCAAGGGCGGAAGCGCCACGTGTGACGTCACTCCAGGAAGATCAAGCAATACGATTACGTCATCTTAGAAACAGATTTGTCACTGCAACCTCCACAAGTAGAGAAATGTTTGGTGGAAGGGTAACTGCACAACCTGTTCGAAATAGCTTGCAGGCTGCTGGTCTTCTAGCTCGGAGGCCCTATAATGGACCAATATTGACACCTCTTCATCGCCGTAACCGACTTGTGTGGGCCACAAGACACATAAGATTTACTCAAAGACAGTGGAATTCGGTTGTCTTTAGTGACGAATCTCGATTCACTTTAAGATTTGCCGATGGCAGGGTCCGAGTGTACCGCAGACGAGGTGAACGTTACGCTCAAGTATGCTTCAGAGAAATTGACCGATTTGGTGGCGGCAGCGTCATGGTTTGCGGTTCTTTTTGTGCACATGGACGTTCTCCTCTTGTTGTTGTCCAAGGGAACTTAAATGCTGCCCAGTACAGGGATCAGATTTTGCAACCTGTTCCTCTTCCGTTTATGCAGAGACATGGGCCTAACGCTTCAACAAGACAATGCTCGACCTCATACAGCAATTGTTACCCAGAATTTTTTAAGAAATGCCGGTGTACAAGTCCTGGATTGGCCGTCGCTTAGCCCCGACCTTAATCTTATTGAACACATCTGGGACGAACTAGGTCGACGTGTTCGTCAGCAAGTGAATCCACCACTGACGTTGCAGAAGCTTCAACATGCTCTTGCTGAGCAGTGGCGACGTCTTCCTCGGGTAGTGTTTACTAATGTTCTGAGATCCATGAGAAGACGTTGTGTGGCAGTACGAGACGCTAGAGGAGGCCACAACCGTTACTAAACACTTTATTCCGATTGTTCTCCAAGTCTGTGAATTTCATTTTGGGGGGGGGGGGTACTGTGACATCAGGAACGTTATCAATGTCAAGGACTTTCGGCGAGACGTATTCTTGCTTTCTGTTGATGTCAAGGTCGTCTGTGCACAACATAACACTAAAATAGTTGCCTTAAACCAAATATTAAAAACCTAGTCCCAAAAATCCCGAGTGTCAAGTTTTTAATTTGGCTGAGTATATATTGTTATGTAATATTTACCTTCTTTACCCTTAATTGTGAATTAATTGTGAAATGCTCACCTGCAGTTCCAATCGATCTTTGGGGAAGTCTTATATGATAGCCCCAGTTTTAGTTATATGAACCATATTGATGTTCATCTATTTCTGATAATAAACTTTATGAGTTTTGACTCTTAAATTGTTAGTGCAATCGGGGCTACAGTTATGAATTGACCTTTCTGAAAGTTTTATGAAAATGTCAACTGCATTATTGGACCCTTTTTCCAGTTGCCCATGAGAATCACAGCGACGCTGATTGTTTAATTGTATCAATGATGTCCCACGGAGGAAAAGATATTATCTGTGCTGCTGATTATGATCCATCTAGGGGGACTGGTTTGCTTACCTTGGATGATATAACAGACCCATTCAAGGGTGATAACTGTCCTTCCTTAGCCGGAAAACCAAAGATTTTTATCATTAATGTAAGTATCAGTTTATACAGTCGTATAGTGTGAAATATAACAGATCGAGATCGCGATCTATAGATGATCATAAAACAATAAGGTATATTGGTTTTTAGGGGACCAATCACTACTCACCTTCTTCTTCTTCTTCTTCTTTTTCTTCTTCTTCTTCATCTTCTTCTTCTTCTTCTTGTGATTGTTCTTATTGTTGTTCCTGGGGGCGACGCTCTTCACAAAAAGGGCTAAAGTTTCCCCAATTCATGAACGATCAACATGCATTGTAGGTCCTTTGGGTATTTAACTTCGATTGATAGCTGTGATGTTATGATACTACTCAGTTCCTGCGTATATGTTATTACATGTATATTTGTAGGCGTGTCGTGGCGATCAGATAGATCTTGGTGTTGAAGAATGTGATCAAGTAGACAGTATAGCGAATAATAAAGTACCTGCACAAGCTGATTTCTTTATATTCTACTCTTGCTCAGATGGTAAGTTATTTTGTATTATAATCGTAGGCCGATTTTATTAATGACAGGTCAAGATAATTTAAATATAAGCTGTTTGCTTAAACGAGAGATAGCACCAAGTGTTTCAATTTTTCAATATAAAGGACGGATCGGTTTCTAAATAAACGAGATTTATCTTTTTGTACCTTAATAGTCATTTATGAAATGATTTTGAATGAAACAATGGATTTCTTTGTGCTTCACTTGAACAGACAGTGAAATATTTGTGGGGCAAAAGAAAAAAAAAGGCTAGAAATGAATTGTCATGAAGAAGGTTATAGTTAGATGGCATTGAATAAAACAATGGACTTCTCTGTGTTTTATTTGAGTAATAGTAAGGTATCATAGACACCATTATTTATAGGGCAAAAGAAACAGATCCGAGAAACGATTTGTTCGTGCGGTTTCAGATAATCAAAAAGGTAGTATTTAGATGGCATTGATGTTTACGGGCTGAATGGTTAGCACGTGCGTGCTGTATCATAAAATCTGTCATTGAGTCAACTGGCGTGGTTTCGAATCCCCGGTTGTACGTGACAAGGAGTGGGGTCGCCTGTCCAACTTCGTGGGTTTTCTCCGGGTCCTCCGGTTTCCTCCCAATGCTAAAGACCCCAACGCGCAAGCGAATTATGGAAATAAAATTGAACCATATGTTAGTGACGAAATGACCTAGTTTGTGTCGAGTGGACGTTAAACCCCATTTCGCTCTCTCTCTCTCTGTTTACGGAGATTACGGATGACTCTCGTGTATGCAACCTTGTAGTTTGAATTAGTAATCAGTGTGTGCTATGGAAGTCATTCGTTTATGTACATGTATAATAAATCTAACTGTTAACTATTTCTTTGTGTATATTGGTTTGTAGGTTACACATCAATAAGGGAAGAGTCCACAGGGTCGTACTTCATTCAAGATTTTTGTCGAGTTTTTAATGAATATGGGAGACTCTTGCATCTTGGTGAATTGGCGTTAAAAGTGAAAATGATTGTGGCAGCTAGATTACTTCTCGTTGAAGAATGTTCTGATCGTGAAATGCAGATGCCTGTTACAGTGGACACATTGCGTAAACTTGTTTACTTCACGTAAATATCCCTTCACACAATTTCATGGAAAGAATATATTAAGTGTATGAGAAAGCGAGTCTGTGTTCAGTGAAGAAAATGACCAAAAATACCTCAAATATACTTTTGGAAAAATTATTTCATGAATTTTACCAAAGGCTAATTTCCGAAGTGATCGAAGAATATAAACCCAAAACATTATTTAACAGAGAGAGAGAGAGAAATATGTTAGTCCCGAAATGGCCTAGTTTGTGTTGAGTGTACATTAAACCTCTTTTTTCTGTCTCTCTCACAATCGCTGATCACCATTTCTCCCTGCATAATCCACGCTAAAATGGATACATTCATATTGATAATTATGCTTATCCACGTATACAATAATTCCTAATTTTAAATATTTATGAAGCCAGTATTTATTATCTTGTTTACAATATACAATAATAATATTATATAATTATTATGTTTTAAATAATATGAATTTTATTATAATCTTTCTTGATTTTTTTTTTCTACACGTGATTTACTGGGTGGCAATATTTATTGTACACGTGATTTTAGTAAAGTTCGTCAATGTTATATACAATCTGATTACAATCCAGATTGATGTTATATATAGACCTATTCCACTAGATACACAGACCTATTCCAGTAATAATGGTTGGCAATATTTTACTCGAACCTGATTTCGGCTTGTTTCAACTCTTAACACACGACTCCACGAATGTATAACACTTCGTAAAGGCAATATTTTACTCGAACCTGATTTCGGCTTGTTTCAACTCTTAACACACGACTCCACGAATGTATAACACTTCGTAAAGGTAGTCTGACTCGAGGGGTGGAAGGGATTGTTAGAGATACATTCCCGCATACAAACTGTGTGATTTAATGATATATTTGGACTAAAAACATATTCAAACTAATAAGTCTATCAAAATTTTGCCTCAAATCCTTCTCCAAAACATTGTATTCGCGAGCGAATACCCGTGCTATAAAAATCTATTAAAAGAAGCTATGTTTGTGTCACGTGACTTGGCTGACTTAGATACCTAGGAACGGGTTCGAAGCTGGAGGAGAATTCATTGCATATACAAGACGATGTTGTCTTTAATCGCTGTCCATTTATCATAAATGTCAAAGCCTAATTAATTCTCCGATTATCTACTGAAAACGTCTTTTATTCAATGGTATGCAGTTAGTGTTTATTAGTTTATTATCGTATCTTTATCAATTTAATGTAAACTTGCTCATTATCTGTGAATACAGACTGCGACCTTTCGTAATCCAGTGTAGAATAAAAAGCGGAACGAAATAAGATATATCCATATAAGTAATCTAAATATTGTTCTCAGAAACCAATCCTATAGTTAATAAATTATGATCATATTATATAAGTCGTCTAGTCTAATTGATTGTGGACGTTATTTCACACACACCACGGGTTATTCAAACAGAAACGCCTAAACCCCAAAATAATGTATTTTGCTCTGACCACGGGATTCAAATTGCTGTTATTGTTATGCACCATAATAAGGTATAGCGTTTTGTTCAGAAGTAACTAAAGGATGAAATTTAAATTAAAGACCCTCATATGAAATTGATATATTGATCATTTAGGAAATCCACGAAAAGTTTATTATTAGACAACGACATTAAACTCGAAGATTACTACCCAAAATCAAACATCTAATCACCTGATTATAAACTGATCGACAGTTTATTATAGAATAGAGATCTATATGATAATATAAATATATTGTTACAGTAAATACTTTGTGTCACTGTATATAATAATATATATATATCTATGTCACCGTGGTGCAAGTTACATTAATAAATACACTTCAAAGAAAACACACCTCAAAGGGAATTTTATTATCTATTTAATTAACCTTAGTATATATATTTAGTGAAAGCTTGGTATACTATTGGTTTATTAATCATAACACCAGTTATTACGTTCATCATATGTCAGCTTAGTGGCCGTAGCCATGTCATCATGGCAAAGTTTAATATACGTACACACCCCTATTATTGGGCAATAGTTTTACCGATCTAATTATAAAGGTACATATATATCAGTCAGTCAGTGTATATTTTTAATATCATGTGGTCAGATTATTCTTTAAAGGCATATCCTGGGGAAACCCCAAGATAGGTGTCTGCGATGTCGTAGTTTATTGATATCAGAAATTAGTACAGGCTGACTGCTTACTACACACGAACTTTTGAATTAGAATAGAGCCAAAAGGTAGGTGGGTCTTTGTATTAGGCATATTTGACGAAATTTACATATTTCACAGACAGTTTATCACTTATTTGTTTATTTTTATGGTACCCACAAAACTGAATTTAATTACCTAATTTATGGCAACCCAATTTAATAACACATGACACAATTATATGGAATACAAGTTACTTAGACGTTTAATACACTGATATACTTAGTCTGCGTCTCTTTTATTACGCAGCCTACAGACTGAATTTAATATGGGTCTATTTCACAAACGCATAGATATAAAAGAAATATGATATACATAATGTAGGTAATAGATTTCTATACACACCTGCATTATCAAATAACATAACGACATACCTGGTCTACAGTATGTAATATAAACATATATTACAAACCTTACATAACTTTATAACTAGGCCTAAACAGCGAGCTCGCCATCTTGTGGCTATTTGTTGTAATGTTTTGTTTAATGATAAAGAACATCGTGGTCACCTGCAATATAATTTTATTACTAACTCTACCCCTTTTTTAGTTGAGCGCACAACTATATTAGACCTGGCCTACATTAAGTTAAATGGTATCTTGTTCACTCAAGCTAAGAGAACATACAGTACACACAGAATTATAGATAAAAACACTATAAGTTATAAAGTGCAGCATATCCACGGGTGATATTACATATGGGAAATTACTCTTATTGGGTTATGCCTGTGGACTGACACCGTGAAATGTTTGTTTATTTGTTTGTTTTACTTTTATAGATAAGAAATAAACCAATGTAAAGAAGACTGTAAAAGTAAGTGTTTATCTTAAAATATCTATCATTTAACCACTTTAATGTAGCGACGTCGGAGCCTGGTCTACAAATGTCCATACAATACCATACCTTGCTCAATGTGCATACAATACAGATAATGGGAGAGGTGGACGAATCGTGGCAATGGGGCTAGGGGTATTTGAGACGGTGTTGAGGTCCCCGGTTGCATTCCCTACACCACTGAATAGGGCTTAACTTCTTACTTTTCAGCTACTGAAGAAGTATGTACGCCATTTAATGTGCTGTAAGGAAAATTGTCCCCGGACAGCGGTGCCACATATTCTTATTTTGAGTTTCATGCTACCCTAGCTCTTTTATCGAGTTTCGTCCCATCTGAACGAATGGACGCAATTCCATGCCAGACTGTCCGCCTTGAATTATTTACAAAAAAAGATTGGGGGGGGGGGAATCTCGAACTTTCTTGGCTACACCGGATTGGTATCCAGGATGTGCTAAAATTTGTATTTTTGCAATATATACTCTTCAAAAAAAGTAGGGGATATTCAGAAACAAAACAAAACTGCGGAAATGCACTGCTGTTTTTATTAGAGATAATCCAATGTTTGTTAATAACAGGCCAATTGCCTACACATGAACATAAACAGTTCATATGCGCGGCTTATCTGACGGCCCCATTTCACTCGCAAAGAGATACACCGTCAAAAGTGAAAATGGACGTTTTTGATTTTTGTCTTAATAATGAGTAATTGCTCCACCAATCCTCAGACATTCAGCAATTCGTCGTGATATGCTCCTAATCAACCGTCCAATCATGATTTGGGGCAATCTTACCCACTCCTTTTTGCAGTGCCACGGCCAGTTCCTGCAGTAAGGTCGATTGACGTTGACGTCGACGAACACGTCTCCCGATCAAATTAAACGTAACACACTAAAGCAAAGATACACTAAACAGTAAATCTTATGCAAGAACCGATAGGAAAGCAAACATGGATAGGATAAACCAGCACGCGGCAGTTTTCATCAACCCTTCCTTGAAGTGTCAAATTTGACGATGAACCCCTCCCACGTGTATGGCGCTATTGCGTGTCGCATGTGCAGCTCAATGGTTCTGTTGGGGCGATAAGTTCTTCATCTGTGAACATACTCTCAAAGCATGTCAAGTGTCCATGGCTATTTATAATATCACAACCTGCATAGGTATTTACATTTCAATATCCCCTACTTTTTTTAAAGAGTATATAACAAAGAGCACACTGACCAATTTGTCTATGTATTTTAGTGGCAGAAGAATATGACATGAATCATGCCAGACGCGGTAAAGCTGTAATTATAAGTAATGAGAATTTCCCGAACTGTAGTTTTTTAAAACCATTGAATGGCTCTCATCACAGTGTGGATCACCTGACGCTTGGACTACAAGATCTAGGCTTTGAAATAGATCCTTATTGTAATTTAAGTAAACGGAAGATAATAGAGAATCTTGAATCAGGTGAGTAATATTATATTTATTATTTAGAAAATGTCTTGAAACGAAATGGCCAAACCATCTATATTTCAAATTTACCAGAGCAGACCTTAATATAAACTTTGGTCTCAATCCAAAACTTATATGATTTGAACTTAAAACAGTAATATTGTACATGTCCCCTGTAGGTCGCCTGCCAGTCACCTGTCTCTCCCACATTTGTTAAAAAAACCGACTTGAACATTCCTTACTTTCCCATGCTCTGGTTACTTTAACTTGTAGGACACAGGAGAGAGAGAGGGAGAGAGAGAGAGAGAGACTTTCGTGTTGCACCTGGAAACTGGACGTAGGTTTAAATTCACGCCCAGTCTCCATATAAAGCTGTTCATTTCTTTAAATACTTTGGTACATTCAAACTGCTAAGTCGCTTGAAAACTAGAAAAAACAATGTACTTTTAGAGAGACTTTCGTGTTGCACCTGGAAACTGGACATAGGTATAAATGCACACCCAGTCACCATATAATGCTATTCATTTTGGTACATTCTAGCTGCTCAGTCGCTTGACAACTAGAAAAACAATGTAATTTTAGCTGCACATGAGCGGGATTCTAGTAGTTTTAACACCGTTGTCTGGCAGCTGGGGTACTTGTTCTGGAACTCCTGTGATTTCGGAATACACACACTTGATTGGTTTTCTCCAGCACCTTAAAGGAATCATTACTAGATAGAGTTCCAATTTTTCAATGGTTTATTTCTTAGAGAAACGCCTATATACCAAATCATTAGAATGTCTGCGAATTTGAATGGTATACCAATATTGTCATATTTATAAAACGAATAAGTCTAGTTTACCATTTATGTCTTTCTACACGGTTATATATGGAGTAAGCACAACTGGTACAACGTGTGGTATCTTAGAAATCCTAGATTTTTTCATTGAATAATGAATCGTTGAAGTGTACTTTTAAGTCTATTAA